ATAATCACCACGTACAAACAACAGTTGTTTATCGCTGCATCCCAACTGTATGACGACAGGGATGGATAGTCTGATCATATCGATACATGTGTTTGCAGTTTCCACTGTTGAATCATGTCCTCAGAAACATCCAGACCAATGAGGTTGAAACTTCACATTTCCGTTGAAACTAATGACCACACGTAAATTTGTTCGAATCCATTATCATAATGACCACCAGAATGGTCCCTCTTTTGAAAAAATACCCCCATATTTTACCCATGAAGACCTGGGTTAGAATTGGTCTTCAGCAACCAATGCTTGTCGTTTTCTGGTGGTCAGGCTAACTGACACATGTTATGGTATCACTTGCATAGATCGATGCTCATGCTGTTGATCACTGGATTGTCTGGTCCAGACTCGAATGTTTACAGACCGTGCCGTACAGCTGTAATACTGCTGAATGAAGCGTCAAACATATACATACTCCAATTATACAATCTGCAAATCGAGTTTAGGAGAGTTTTTTATAGGTGCAGAAAGGGTTTTGTTCACATATTATGTTTATAATCATCTCAATTTGGCTTATGTGTAGTTATCTGTGATCTCAAATATTTTCATTTGTTCAAAGCTATTTTGTAATTTTACCTTGATTGTGTTTTGACCATACTTTCCAAAAACCTTTTGACTGTATAACTTCTCTCGAATTCAGTTTCTTGCAGAAACTTTAATGATCCTAACTGAAATCTAATTTAAGTGAGAGGCCGCATTTCTGTTCCTGCCATATGAAGGATGCTAAGATGCTGTGTCAGTGTTTCTAAATACAAACAATTATTGAATATAAAATATAAAGAAAATCGTAATTTATCCTTGTTGGCATTACTGTACACCTGCATGTGAAAGTTGTTCTGTGACAACTTCATTTCATTTACCTCACCCTTACAGATGGCATATCGTGATAAAGAAAAAAGAAGATCAGTTGTTTCACTCCGACTTCCGGTTTTACTATCACCCACACAGGATGGTGATCGCTATGAACACTGTGTTTGATGGGGCGTGGGGTGAAGAGTTACATACTCATCTAACAATGACGGTTGGACAAGAATCAGAGGTCGAAATAACACTTCAAAATGGATTTTACATGGTATGTGCAAGGTAGCAAACTGTGGGGTTGGTATATCAGTTGAATGTAAGCTTCAGACAATAGAGACAACAGGTTTAATCCTTCATGTATGTTGCAAACATGGGTATGGGGTATACAGGGTATGTCTATCAAAGTGTACTATAGATAAATGGGTGATATACATTACTTTGATGTCATTTCACTTCGTCATACGATCTTGCTACTAGCCAATTCGACATCCTCTTCTCTGGTACCCAGCCGTGTTGGAATTTCTGGAACCACAATGGTTGATTCTGCTGCTAAGGCAGTACTCACCAAATCTGTGACATCACTTCTGATACGTTACATCTATCACAAGCAGGTTATTACATCAGAGATCTAAAGCAAGATCTTTGAAGAAGGCAGGTGAAGTAAATTATAATACATTCTTCAAAATATTTGACTAAAAAATTAAACCTATTCTGTTATATGGCTCAGAGGTTTGGGGTTTTACACATTTTTATGTAATAGAAAGGGTTCATCTTTATGCTTGTAAAAGATTTTTAGGTGTTAAGGTCAGTACTTCTAATTGCATGGTTTATGGAGACTGTGGACGTTACCCTTTATATATTGAAACATGAAAGCAAATTTTAAGATATTGGATAAGGTTAGTAAATACGCCATTGTCACGATATCAAACAAATGTTACAATATGATGTGTATGTATGATAGAAATGATAAGATAAATTGATTGGGTAACAAATGTGAGAAATTTGCTTGAAACATGCAGATTTGGAAATGCTTTTAAACTTGGTTGTATTAGCTTCCAAATATATCTATTAAATATGTAACACAAAGGTTAAAAGATATGTACTTGCAACTCTGGACAGCCTCGCTAACTCTACCACCCAAAACCTAATTATATAGCACTTTAAATCAGATCTTAGAGCAGAGCATTACCTCTTTGATGTTAACATTAAACAGTTTACGACAGCAAGTGCTCGTTTACGATGTACACTTCCACGAATTAAATATAGAAAAAGGCAGATATCATAATGTTCCACGAGAAAATAGACTGTGTATGTCATGTGATTTAGGAGTGATAGAAGATGAGTATCATTTTATATTAGTTTGTCCGTATTTTCACAATTTAAGAATGTTATATATCCCTCCATCGATCATTGTGAATATAAATTAAAGGTATTGATGAAAGCAACAAATCTACAAACTGTTAAAAATCTATCAACGTACATCTTTCATGGGTTCAACAACAGAATATCTGTATTAAATATTACGTGACTGTACACGCCTGTATTGTACTATAGGCCTGTGGCCTCTTCAGCACCCTGAATAAAAGAAATTGAATTAATCTAAAGCAAAACAAGTGGGACACCCAAGACGGTATAAAAAACTGCATGAAGATCCAGCTATCGGTTAAACCTACTTGGGTTGTCATTCCAGAACTGAATAGGTCATTTTAAGACGATGCCGTATTGACCAATGCAGATACAGTCATGAATATTTAATTTTAAAAGGCGTGGATCCTCCATTATGTATCCCATGGGTGAAAGAAACACGGCCAAGCATGCCCTGCTTGACTATATTAATTTTTACATCACAAGTGATTACTATTTCAACGTTTTATCCATGGTGGATCTTTTGATAATGTTAGTTTTCACGCACTTAATGAAAAGAAATAGAATTGGCGGATATATTTTGACTGATATGTTTTAAAATATGATATTACGGAAATTATTGTCCCCCCGAGTGAGTGGGTGAGTGCGTTAAGTTTTGGGCGGCATATAGCAATATTCAAGCAATATAATGGCGGGGAACACAAAAATGGGCTTTACACATTATGCCCAAGCAGGGAATCGAACCCGGGTCTTGGGCGTGATGTGCGAACGCTTTAAACATCTCTGCAAGTGTTTGAAACGTAGAATATATGTTATTTAATTCATGGCTAAATGTTTACATCTATATCTATGGTATTCTAGTTGGTTTTACTGTCCTTCGTCCACAGGTTCTTATATTCTAAGCTTATGTGTCGCGTGTTTTTTGTCACGAAATGGCTGCCGACGTGACTAAACCTCTTAACTAACTCATTCATAACTAAATTTATAATTCAAATTTATTCAATTTGAATTGTAAACTGTTCTTGTCATGGTATATTTGAAATTCCAATGTGACGTTAAATATCAACTCACTCACTCACTCACTGAGTTTGTCATATGAATTATTTATCAGTATTTTGAACATATTTTGGCGATATATATATTTGAGTTACCTTATCTGGAATATATGTTTGTTTTTAAGAAACATGTTGTAACACTTTGTATATGATGATTGGTGAAACATTTACAGTGAATTATACAAATGGCTGATTTATTTCAGTTGGTAATTGATGGTGCCAGCGTTTACAACTTGACTGAAAGGGTATCTGGCGCAAAACCCAATCACATCGAGCTCGGGGGCGACGTCTCTGTTGGCATGGTGGAGTTCAGGTCCTAAAACGAACCACTCGAGAGTCTTACCTTCGTGACATTTGAGACAGGCATTGTATTCCTAAAATAAATGCATAAATAAAGAATAATAAAGAATTCAGTGGAATCATTTTTCTTCTCAGGGTTACAACAATAATCCTATCAATGGGATGCATTCCCCGATTTACCCTCGATGGGCATGATTGACCGAGTCACCCTTTTCATTTTCCTAAGACAGTCTGCCGAGAACAAAGTCCATTGTAAAACTCTGACTAGATCACAAATCACTATCAAATAGTCATGATATATGACAATGGTGAGCATAACATGTATTACCGTTATCATTGCGTCAGGTAATAACGCAGTTTGTTGTGATCAAGCGCAGGTTATACATTTACACAGACACAGACAAATACAAAGTCAACTACAAAGACAAAACCATGCGAATGAGAAACGCTGGTGGCTGTTTGAAGCAGTTGTGATCAAACGCAGGTTGTTAATTTACACATTCTGATGAATGAATGATTCTGTATGTTCTCATGAGCGCATTGCTTTGAATTGCCTTGTATTTTGATATAAAGTCAACCGAACAACAAGAGATTTGATATGCCTTACAATATATTGATTGCTGTGAAGGAAAGAATTCGGTACAAGTTGTTTCTTTCTACCAGCATAAACATTTGAGCACGTAATGGTTGCCATTAATAGACGTTGTTCTTGACAGTGTTACAATAGCTTAATATAGTTGGGGCCTGTCAAAATCAACTAGACAGTTGACGGCCCAGGTACTAAAATTTGTTCTTACCATGAAGTTGTTTTCCTAATTTTTGAAATCATGAAGTTCGTCAATGGTGACAACTGTTTGGACGTGGATTCTCTAGTTCACAGCGACAAGTACATGGAGCACCAGGTGTTCAGAAAGTTCTGGAGTCAATCTCTCTACACCTGTGCGTTAGAACGTCTGATGTCCTCAGCATGTCTGTCCTTTGGATTTGAGAAGAAAACACGCACCTGCCTCCTCAACAGTAACAGTAGTGATACTACTAACCTTGATGACAGAAAGGGTTTTCAGTGATATTCAACACTTGCCACAGGTAGGTGAGTGAGTGAGTTAAGATTTATAGTCACGTCGGCAAAATTTCAGCCATATCGTGGATTGATAATAAATGGAATTATATAACAAAACCCTGTCGAAGAAGGACAGTGAAATAACTAGATTATCACAGATAGAAACGTAAAACCAGTAATTAAATCTGAAACATTTTAACTATAGAGGACAACACAATATAAAAGCAGGCTATATATTGCCAACAACTGAAGTTAGAGCATGCTTCCTTTGTCTTCGACCATACTATAACCATCCGATGTGGCGGTTACAACCCGGACGGAACTACTTTCTCAAATGAAAAGAACAATTTCGACTATAATTACTTTGTATTACTTTTTAATGACAACAGACACTGAAATCGCGACGCGATCGTCCGTCACACTTTGCGAGACTGCGGGCGTGGTAGTTGTAGCTACGTCGACACTGGAGTCAGCAGTTCGTCGTCTTTCAGGGAGTTCACCGCCACCTTGGATCACGTTGCTCAGTTCTTTCTCCTGAGCTGTACTAACTCGCTTGTACTCTCTCACAGCGGTGCTCCGATGTCCCGTTGTTCTGGCGATTAGTTGTTCATCAATGCCTGACTGAAAGAGTCGAGTGGCGCATGTGGCTCTGAGTGAGTGATTGCTGTAAAAACCTGCAATAAGACAATTTACATTATTGCTAGTCTAACAAAGTAAGGAATATGGCTATATGTTCAACGCTTTTCAATACCGCCCCTTTGAACAGTCATACAGAAGCCTTGTCAATTTACGCTTACAGTACAAGGGCAGCCTCAATCAGAAATATGGTCACGCCATACTGTGAAACCAAAAACCACCACATTCACAAGTTTAATGAAAAGTTAAAAAGGTAAAACTTACCTTCAAAGCCTGCTTGTTTACACATCTTGCCAACTGTCCGCTGCACAGTGTGTTTTCCAACAGCCTGCTGACTGTACCACTGATCATCTCTGGGCTTCACCAGTGGTCGCAAATACATGACGGGAGTTGGTCGGACGCAGACTACAGTACTTTCTGAATATCGCAACTACACACTTGTTACGATCGTCACTGGCGTATGCACGAACACACTTTGGAGGAACACCAAAATCCTTAAGTCCACGCTGGTAACACTTACAAGTCTTCTCAGAATAAAGAAGAAATTCTCCAGTGTCATCCTTGTCAATTTCGAATTGGTCAAATGTAAGATTCCTGTGCTCATCGCCGCTTCTGAGTGCAAAGTTTATTCCAATGAGGTACAGCATTGTATCCAAAAGAACCTGTGGTGACGAAACTCCCAAGATGCCCATATCCCACATAGTTGTCTCTTGTTCATAGGAAATAACCTTGGCCCTTTTGGTACGAATTCCAATACCACGTTTCGATCCTTCTTTCATTACGCTGTCCAATATATTTCACAGTTCGAGAAAAACGTTATCCGACAGGAATTTCAAATCCCGACCACACTTCGTCAAATGCATGTTCAATAACAGCACTAACTGCACGAGAGTTTTCGGATTATATTCAGATCCATCGCTTTTGCGCACCTCGCATAAAAAACGACACAGAGAGTAATTAAGTTCATCGTCGTTCAGATCCTCGAGTTTGTGAGCTATTAATGTAAACGCTGTCCGGATGTTTCCCCTCGTAAATGCTCTGATTACGTGAATTTCTTCAAGTTTCAAAAAGACCACAGGCCCAACGTAAATTCTGTTTGGTATTTTGAGGCACACTTGTCTCGCATAATCCTGCAATTTCAGAATCCAACAACGGTACAGAAAATCTTTCATGATCACTAAGCTTCCCACTACCGCCGCCAAACACATTCTTACTCACGTGGACTTCTTCCTCCACGTCACTAATATCGCTGTTATGTTCCTGAAGAAGATCCCTTTCCTCCGCAGTTTCCAGTGCTGTGCATAGAATTTCATCATCTTCAGAGTTTTCACTTATTGTCAAAAACTTACACTGTGAAGCTGGAATCAACGTATCGTCGCTGTCGGTCCCACTCATACCTGCTGCGTAATGAAGAGACATGTGCGCGGAGACCATGTGTTTGTAAAGGTGAGATTTCGGAGAGCACGTGCTCTACGTCCTCGGTTCATTAACCATCCATGATGAGGGCCCGGAATGAAATCCTATGTACCCCTGAAGCTGATTAATCAAAGAGCATCGGGACGCTTTCTCAAGACGACCTTCGATAACTGGTAAAGACATATTAGCGTTGATTTAACGACGATAGCGACTGTACGGGCCTTTAGGTAGAATACAGAATATAACACACATTAGCACGTGCCGTTCATGACATAAGTCGACCGTACCACAACCTTGCTTGCGCTTAAAAAAACTATAGTCCATTCATTAAATTACAGACCCGTACCAAATAAATATTATTCTTTTATTTTATTAAAAGCAATATTTGTGTGCATGCTCTAAGTAGGTTAGAAGACTCGGACGCGTTCTGTAACCGTGGATTAAGGCGGCTCCGCGCCTCGGGCTCTAACCGCCTTAATCCACGGTTACAGAACGCGGGCTCTAACCGCCTTAATCCACGGTAACAGAACGCGTCCTCGTCTTCTAACCTATACGTAGATCACCATACTAGGGACCATGGGGACTTACAGTACGCCACAGGTAGGTATTCACAGTGGATTTTCACCTTTCATTTAAGGCCTTCTTGTTTAAGGGCCATGCTGCAAACCCAATGTTACCTCAGTGGCTTCTAAATGTCTCCAATATTTATCTTAATAAACGTTTTCCAGTTTCTTGAAGGTATAAACATTTAGTCATTCTTTTGATATAAACATACAAATGCCAAGTGTTCTCGTGTATAGGTTCAAGTAGAATCTTCTTAAAATCACAAGACCAAGAAAAACTCACTTAAAAGAAATCTAAACTCTGTCATACAGAGAACATAGAGAGTTACATCGTTAAATATTAAATTGTTCCATTTTTTAGAACAGATGTGATTTTCATATATTTTAGTTACTCCAACAAATGTGTGTGGTGATGACATTTCAACATTGCTTAAAACAATGAGTTACATTTGGATCCATATGAGGTTCACGATGACAATGTGTTATTATCTCCCGCCACGAAGTGGGAGGAGGATATAGCTTTGAGCTTCGTCCGTCCGAGTTGATGGGGACAGATTTTCTCAAAAGCAGAAACCGTGTTACGATTATTTACAGAGATATGACCCTTGTCCTGCGTTTCATGACTTTCTATCCCCAATGGGAACAGCTTTTCTCAGTAACCGCTATAGATAGGAAAACCAAATGTGGTATGTGTTTTCAGGACATGGATGTCGTTGTGGAGTTGAAAGACAGATACCAAATTTTTATTGATGACCATGTTTTCTTCTTGTGTAATAATATTCTTTGAAAGCATTACTATAATATAACACTCCCCAGCTACCATTACATGTGTCGTGCAATGCATTATCGGCATATGTGCTAAACGTTTGGGCATATGCATCTCTATAAACTGCACGAAGAACATGAACTAGAAACCTGCTGTCGATTTCGGAAGCTTAGTTGTTTGGTCGTTATAAATAATAAACGGCTAAATAACCGCATTTTGTCCCATGCCTCATGACCATGCACATTTCCACTGCCACCAAAATACCATTAATGGTGTCTCATCTCCGTGTCTCCATCTCATCAAAGGTAGCGTAACTGCGCTGGGCACAGGTGCACCTTCAGATGGCTAAACTTCCTGTAAAATGCAGGTATTGACGTCATCTAGTGACCATCGAAATCCCCTGACCTCAATCCCATGGGTAGCTCTTGGAAGAAGTCGTCTCGTCTTTAGACGTCAAACCCAGAATGTTCAAGAGCCGGGCGCCATGTTGGTACAGCAACGGTGCAGGCTGCCTAATGCTGTGTTCGCGGGTGTCAGGCAGTCAATGAGACAATGTTGCTTTGTTGTGAATGCGAGGAGGGGGCCTATGTTGCACCGGACAAGTTCTAATACAAGACTAGTCCCTGTGAAATAAAAAAGTGACCTCGTCGTGTTACGTGTACCAAGCGCATTTTAAACACACATCCTCTTGTAGGATACGTCCAGAACCCGGACTTAGTGGATTTATCCACAAGGAACACAAATTGTTCTACATGGTAATGTTTGGAACATAAAGTATCCCATGTGAAGTTTCTTTTCTCGTTTGGTTTATTTGTCATTGATGGTAATGTCCTTTTCTAATATCTTAAGTCATGTTTCCCGTTGTTTAACTTCGTTGTAATATTTCAACTTTTCGTTTTTACCACACATCATTTTAACAGTCTAGTTGTATTGCTGTTCCAACTGAAACGGAAATCTGTACGTAAAATAATTTGTCTGAAACCAGCACAAAACAATCACCTGAGGAAGAAGTAAGAATACATTCTGAAACGTCGTGTTCCTCAAGGACATCCATAAGTTCTCGCCTTTATGTGTCTTACTTCTAAATGCCGTCCAAAACCTTTATTAAACAAGTAATAAAACAAGGAATAGCATACAGTTAACAATTGCATCATAAAATATACTACGTGTACCAAACAATAAAATTACTCAGAGGAATAACAGTAGATACTGGAGTTGCGGTACAATTCAACGGAATAATAACTTCAAGTGCAGCTTAAGATAGAACAGATGTAATAGCATTTATAATAGAAATAAAGTCAGGGATAATGATATTCACGTCTGAAATAAGCTTTCATTATTAAGTTCATCATTCTGCTTCACAATAAAAGTGTTGAAATACTAATAAAGTACGGAGACCAATGAGACCGCCGCATGTGTTTCCTATTTAGATCTATTCACATATATTCAGAGACCAAAAAAGCCCTCTCTAAGGCTGTACTACAATACGTATGATTTTCCCCCAATGTCGAGCAATATTCCAAGAGCTACAGCTTTTGATGTTTCTATTTCACAACTTTTGATTTACAACCGAACGCGCTGTTTTCATCAAGATTTCAAACATCGTCATATGACTCAAGCCTCAGTTAAGTTTTTTTTAAAATCTGAAATGTCAAATGAAAGACACGTGCAGGACATTTCCATCTGTGGCTTTGTCTTATGCTAATCCTTATTTTGACTAGTATAATACTTTCACGTCTTTTTCTCAGGTAAAACACAACTAGACTTTCATTTGTTTATTCAGGGTGTCATCGAAAGTGCAGAATGCGCTCACCTTTCCGAGACCACGCTTTCCTAATGATTCATAAACACAGGCCCATGATATAAATGTACAATCGATATTGCTTTTAGCAGAAATTACTTAAGGATATCGAAGGGTTTTGTAGCGTTTATTGTAAACGTGAAAGTGTTTTCTTAGATACATGTATATGTATAAAACTGATATTTTTCTGTGTTACCTTGTTTGTCAATGCCAAACTTAGGAACATGTAGACACCATCAAGGATACTCAGACCAATTTACATTTCACATTAAATACAGTTTCCATGACGTTGTAAAAAAGCAACATTATTTATTTTGCGAACGAGTATACACGTTTCCATTAAGAATGCCAAAATATGCTTGTCGTAGGTTTTGGAATTCTGCGACAGAATTATGTCTGATCTGTTGGCAAGGCCCCGTGAAGCCATGCCTGGTTAAAGACGTCGCTAACGGGATCGAGTGGTCAGTCCCACCGATTTGGTCAATAGATTTCATCATGTGCCAGTTACGTAGATTTATGCTCATGATTTCACTCAGTGGATGCCTGGTGCCCCCCTAATTCTTATGTTTCGATATGTAATTAAAAAAGAATCTGTTCAAAGTGCAAGGTTGGACGAACAACCCCTTCCGTCGTTGGATTTATATACACAGGAAAACACAACGTGAACATTTGTTGTTTGAACGACGTCAATATATTTTGTTAACGGATTCTTCTCTTCCTAGTCTCTCTCTGGACGATGCGCTCAAATGATATGCCCAAACACCCGCTGTGAGGTAACTCGACTGGGTCGTGCAAGGTGTGTTCTAGGTAACCGATGTTCTTCCAATGCCTCAACTACTTTTAACAGATGCATATAGGAGGATCGTTTTTCAAAGGTCCAGTTGGCAATACTGTACATGATTTAAACTGAATGCCTTAATGCGTTCCCGATAAACTGACATAAGTAAATAACATTTTGTACATTAAAACGACATTTTAAAACAAGCAAGTGCTAAAGCAACACACAGATGCAGTGTGAAGACATCGAACATGGGTAGAAAGCTGCAATGTTTCATCGAAACAAAAATGTGAGTGTGAACATCTCCTTGAGCTGTTCTGCGCCCATTTAACATTCTTGGAGTAATGAAAACGTCGGAATGCTATTGGAAAAAATAATCCTTTCAGGACTTGGTGTTTTGTAAAGATAATATATTATGTGGAATACATGCATAATGAGAGATGATTGTATTTCCAAAAACACGACTGTTGACATAATGACGTGGATTGTAATTTTCAAGCTAAATAATTCTTTGTGTGAAGAGTTCCAAGGGTGTGGTCATCCCCCGGATGTGAGGGGCGCCAACATCACGTATGATGGTCACTACCAGGGAGCTCTGGTCACCTACCCCTGTCGCCCTGACTTCAGAACCTGCTACAAAAATGTCACCAGAACCTGTCACCTGGAGCATGGGAGAGTTTACCTGGTCTTTGTGGACAATACAGGTGGCACGATCTGGTAAGAAAATATTTTCGTCTGTGTATTTAAGGATCTTTCACAGCCGTGGTTTACATGAACACAGACCCTACACACCTCCAACCCTGTTTCCTTGTTAGACTGGTACCCTGCAACATACATACACTAAACGCCAAAAGAAACGTTACCCTCCTTCCATAATGACGGGGGTACCTATCTTCAGCTGTCGTTGTGATGCGTGGACGTCCACTTCTTGGTATGTCTACGGTGACCCCAGTCTGTCTTAAGCCCTGAATAAGTCTTATAACCGTGATACGATGGCATCCGAGGGCGTTGGCAACAGCATTGTATGTCGACCCCATCTGCACCATTACAATGGCTCTTTCTCTCTCTTCAGCTGTTAATCGTGGCATATTTCTCGTACTTGTGTATCATATCATGCATTCTAGGCTCTCTTTATGCGCTATAAAATCATTCTACATGTGAAATGGATGCAAATACAGCTTGAATATTGCTGCGTTTTGGAGATTGATATTGCTATGTGTAAACAGAAAATGGAAAAATGTTACTTTGCAAGCAAAAATGTTAACAAAGATAATTTTAAATGTTCCTAAACATTTTTTCACAATATCAAAGTCACGTCTTACTTGTTTTCTCTAATGCAATTCGGCAGAAATTGTTTTAAAAGACTGATATCATAGGAATGATTATTTAACAATTTTACACACTCTACAACAGTTGTTTCTTGTTTTAATAGTTGACAAATGGTGACTTTAAATGGTTTATCTTTGTCTCAAACCAGAATTGTATTTCAACCTTTCTTTTGGACATCTAAAACACTGTTTTTGGTTTTGTCAGCATGAACGAAAATAGGAGAAATTTAACTCTTCTGAAAAAGTTGCATTTCACCTAAATATGAATGCATTTGAGAATTTGGTTTCGAGATTTGCATAAAACTGTGTTGTTAAGCTTTCTTGTCAACTAATACCTTCCAACAGATCTGTGATAGTTTGTAAGTAATTCAAATGTAGTAAGGTAACGGGTGTTTTTGGCGTTAAGTGTATCTAACCGTTGGTCAAGTTAGGTGCCTTGGTTTTTCTTGTCTTTTATTGACTTGGCTAGCTAAACAGCGGCGTAAAACTACACACACATTTGGTATCAGTCTGATTTCTATTTTTTCATGTCCAGTAATACGGATCTTTTTGACAAAATATATCGCATATATATTAAATTATGTCAGGGGTAGTCGCACACAAGCAATCATACACAAGTAAATCACATCAGTTCTTGTGAAACAGCGAATTATGAAATGTGTTGGCATGTCTGTTGTAGATTAAGGGCACGTATTCACTTCCGTGTGGTCCATCCAGCAAGTTCCGGCTGATAATCAATGGGACATCTACAGAAGCTACAAAGTAAAGAATGCACACTTTGAATTAAATTATTAAAAATTGACAGATTTACAATATAAACAAGAATATATACATTTGTACAATATGTACAATTAAAAAGTAAATATAATACATACAAATTCTTATTTACAGATGGGTCCAAAGATGGTGGCTTGTGCCACTGTCATTGGATCCAGAACAATATCTTCTCGTTTACCGGATAAAAGTTCTATTTCTACAGCAGAAGCCAACGCGATATTAATGGCTCTTAAATATATTTAAAAAACATCCTAAATATAAACAATATATAATTCTTGCCTTCAGACTATTAAAAACTTATCTTGCAAACATCCACATTTAATTGAAATAGTCGAATTATATAAGGATCTTGCAACTGGCCAATACAACATCGTCCTCTGTTAGTTAACCTGCCACTTTGGAATTTCTGGTAACACAATGGCCGATATTGCTGCTAATTATAAGGCAGCACTCAACAAACCTGTGACACCACTTCTCATTCCATACTCTGATTACAAAGCTGTCATTAGATCGTACATCCGCCAGCTTATGCAAAAGAAGTGGGATACTCAAGTAGGTATCAATAAATTACATTCAATTAAGTCCAGATTTGAATAGGTCAAATTTGGCCACAGCAGGTATACTGATGAGTATTTGTTAAGATCCTCCATTCTGCATCCCTTGTGATGAAAGAATCACGGTCAAGCATGTCTTGCTTGACTGTATTGATTTTTCCATCACAAGGGAAAATATTTTGATGTAAAAACAATGAAGGATCTTTTTAATCATGTTGCTGCTCATTTAATCCTTCGATTTTTAAAAGAACTTGAATTAATTGATAACTTTTGATATAGTGTAGATAGTTGATAGTTGGTAAGTTTAAGTTGGAACTTAGATGGTCAGAGGCTGTATCCTCGAAGGGGGTTAAAATTATTGTCCTCCTGAGATGGCACGTAAGTGGAAAACAATTCAAGTATATATAATCTTACTCTTATTTTTAACTGCAGTATATATGTTATTTTAATTTATAGCTCGATCGTCAACATTACTAACATCTGAAGTGATGGTGTAAATCCAACTAGGGTCCATGCAGGTAGCAAAGGCACAGTTAGTCCCCATGGTCCCTAGTACGGTGATCTACTTTCAGTTGTTGGTGATCTATAGCCTGTATTTATGTTGTAAATCCAACTAGGGTCCATGCAGGTAGTAAAGACACTGTTTATTCCCCATGGTCCCTAGTATCGTGATCTACCATCAGTTGTTGGTGATCTATAGTCTGTTTTTATAATACAATGTCCTGATTTGTATCTACTTTTAAGTCGCCTGCTAGTTTTGAATCTCTAACTGTGATATTCTAGATCTAATTCTTTTACTGTCCTTTGCAGACAGGTACGTATATAAGCTTGTTTCTATTTCATGTATACATTTACAAATTTACCACTTTCATAGTCACGATATGGCTGAAATACTGCCACAGAAATTAAGCAATTTTCAAATAACTCAAATGCTTTTACGAATTCATTACTGGCAAACATACTAAAAAAACTAAATACTGGTCCCTGATCATAGACATGGATGAATAATAATACCCATGATCCAAATAATGTCTAAATTTCGATGCTTACGGACGTATCCGAGTATTGCCGAACATGGGAAAAAGTAGATTCGGCTGCCATGCAGTACGGAATGTGCCTAAGGTGGCCGTATGGCTATTTCTGTATTGCTGTCGTAAAATTAAATTGGTTTGCAATAAAATGGACTTTTCTTATGGAAGTGTGTTTTGTCTCTAATGTTCGCAACAATTACAATAAATTGTATCTTTACGTTTTAAGTTTTTGACAATTAATTTTAATGTATTATCGTTAACACGGATTGATTTCACGAAAGTGCTTTAAAGAAATCATTTTCGATTTCTGTTTATAAAACACTTTTAAGCTTAAAGAATCTTTTATCCTGCATGTGCATTCTTGCGTATGTTCTCAAACACTTGCGTTCTTGAGAGCCCAGGAATTTAAACTAAATGCAACCGAATCACAAGAAATATGATATGTTTTTCAGTATATTGATTGCTGTAGAGGAAAACATGCCAAACATGTATTTCCCATACTGATGTTCCCGTCTTAAAGGTTTATACACTTAATGCATGCCATTAACAGGCGTTGCTATTGGCAGTGTCACACTAGCTTAGTGTACATAAGGAGTGCCAGTAACAGCTTGACAGTTGATGATCCTGGCTGTGAAAATGTGGTCTTACTATTGCAAATGTGTTTTCCTAATATTTGGAATCATGAAGTTAGTCAGTGGTGACAGCTGTTTGGATGTGGATTCTGTAGTTCAGCGTGACAAGTACATGGAACACCAGGTGTTCAGAAAGTTCTGGAGTCAGTCTCTCTACACCTGTGCATCAGAATGTCTGATGTCCTCAGCATGTCTGTCCTTTGGATTTGAGAAGAAAACACGCACCTGCCTACTATACAGTGACAGTAGTGATAGTGATACTGCTAACGTTGTTAACAGAAGGGGATTTCTCTTCAGTGATATTCAACACTGGCCAAAGGTAGGCATTGGTTGACTTTTTCATTAATTAGAGGCCACCCTGTCCTGAATGTCGTCAACATTTATCAAAGTTTCCCAGTGCCTGTAAGTTATAAAAAGATATCTAATATTTGTCCTTCACTGCCGATGTGACTCTAATCATAACTCACTCATTCATGTGTTCATATTTAGATGTATGCAAAGAACATCAAATGTACGAAAAATAACTCAACAAGGCAGCAGGAATGATTTCAACTTTTGAATTGTCACTATTTCCGATATATTCCAACTTCGGTATTTACATTTCAGAGCATTGAACAATCGAACAAGCTCTTTCTATCAGGAATTCAAAGAACGTCACACGATTTTCCTTCAGTAGTTGTTCGATCAAGGGTATAACATATAAGGGCTGGAATATTGCTGAATGCAGCAATAAACAACAAACAAAGCATCAGTAAATGTTTAAAAACGTTATATGGTAGATATGTGGTGGACATTAAAATGTTGATGCAAAAGTGACAAAAATGATATGAGATGCAATTCCCTATGCTTTAACCATATGTTCCTGAACATATTCAGTTGTGCAGTTGACTGGCCTTCGCATATGTATAAGACGTGTACCAGCGTGAGACAGAATACACTCACCTTTTGTGAACACCTAGTCGATAGTGATTCATAAACACATGCTCATGATATAGTCAGGATTTTAGAATCGTTTCTGTTTCATCAGATGTTATTTTTTATATGGATAGGGTTTTGTTGCTTTCATTGCAAACATGGAAGCGTATATATTTGCCTTGAGAAAAGCAAGATATCGTGAGTTCAGCAACAAGGCGCCTTGAGAAAGCAAGATGTCGTGAGTTCAGCAACAGAATTATGCTTTATGTGTCGGCATGGACCCGTGAATTGCGGGATCGAACTGAATCTTCAGCAACGTAAAGGGATCAAGGGATAAGTCTCAGTGACATGGTCAATACATTTCTTACAATCACATCAGTTATGCAACAGTTACGTAGACAGATGCTCATGATGTCGTTCACTGGATGTCTGGTCCCAACCATTTCTCTTGTTCGATGTGTACTTGAAAAATTGCTGTCAAAGGCAGAATTAAACAACATTTTTCGATGTTTGAAGGTTGAGGTGTGTCAGTTCATTGGATTTATATACATGTCCACAACCCAAAACCAACAACTTTTTGAACGTCAATAAATTTTGTGTATGAACTCTTTTCTTTCTAGTCTCTCTCTGGACGATGCGCTCAAATCACATGTCACAATAACACCGGCTGTGAAGTAACTCGACTTGGTCTTGCAAGGTGTGCTCCAGGTAACCGATGTTATTCCTATTCCTCAACTACCTTTAGCAGGTGCATATAGGAAGGCTGTCTTGCATAATCCCAGTTGGAAATACTGTACATGATTTGGACTGGTTGCTGTATTGCGTTCCCGATTTATTTACTGACATAAGTAAGTAAGTAATTTTGTGCACTAGAACAACATTACCAGAGACGCAGGTGCTGAGATAACACACAGATGCAATGTAAAGATGCTAAACTTAAGAGGAATGGTAAGGCCACAATATTTCATAGAATCTAAAGGTTGAGTGTGAACAATTCCTTGTGCTGTTCTGCGCCTATATCATCATTCTTGGAGTGATGAAAACTTCGGAATGCTATTGGAAAATCATTCCCTTCAGGCCTTGGTGTTTTGCCACTTAGATTTCCAGTCAAGCTGATATCAGGTGGAATACGTACATGGTGAGTCATTGTTTTTCAAAACTACGATTAATGACATATTGACGTACATTCTAATTTTCAAGCTATATGACTTATTTTGTGAAGAGTTCCAAGGGTGTGGTCATCCCCCGGATGTGAGGGGCGCCAACACCACGTATGACGGTCACTACCTGGGAGCGGTGGCGACCTACTCCTGTGACCCGGACTTCAGAACCTGCTACAACAAAGTCATCAGCACCTGTCAGTCATCTGGAGCGTGGGAGAGTTTAGCCGGTCTTTGTGGACAGTACAGGTGGCACGATCCGGTAAGAAAATATTTCGTCTGTGTATTTTAGGATACACATTTTAGTTCTGGTATAAAAACACAGACTACACACCATCCATCCCCAGCTCTACCACCTCCAAGAGCGTATTCCGGGTTAGACTGGTACCCAGCAGCATACACACAGTCCGTTTGGGTTCAAATATGAACGATTAATGATTAAATAACTCGAAATAGGGATAAGTTCACACTACATAATTGAAACACTTTGTCCTGAAAACCTCTGTACCCAACAGGATATGAAATCTGACGTTTTATGATCGATCACGGAAACAGTTGTCCAAGAAACTATCATGATATATTGTTCTATTTTCACGCTTCACACCAAGGGGTGACAGACGGCTGGCGGAACAGCGCCGGTTGCTTCCTGGCTAGTAGGGGTCATCTCAATATGTCACGGGTCACATTCAGCCTCGCTCATATTATCAATCTCATAATCAGAATCGCCTGTGATGTTACCTACTGTCGCCACTATAGGAGGAACGGTAGCTTGATGCAGGCCATCACGTAACCAGTATCTTCGTTCTATCTCGTCCTTCACTTTGGCCACACATCGCTTCCAAACTGTTTCTCGAGTGAGCGATTGATACCTGACTGGTCAAGCTTCATGACTTGACTTGTCTTAATGTGGCTTGCCAAATAGCAGCAAAACAGTCTGAATTCTACTCTTCCAGGCCGAGTGATTCCGATAATTTCTACCATTTGTCATTTGTTCAATTTAATCAGCCTTAGCCCCACACTAGCAATCATACACGACAAACTCTGTACCAATGACATAATTTAATTATGAAATGTGGTGGTATGTCTCTTGCAGATTCAAGACAAGTATTCATTTCCGTGTGGTCCTCCAAGCAAGTTCCAGCTGACAATCAAGGGGAAAGCAACAGCAGCTACAAGGTAAAGAATGTTGACTGTATTTGCTAAAGTCGTAATGTTTCACAATATTTTGCACATTTAGTTATTTATTTCAAACCTCATCTGTAGATCTTGTCATAAGTGAAAAGAAACTATTTTTGTAAATTCAAAAGATGACCACAAATGAACAATGAATAATCAACGAATGGTCCAGGTACGAAAATGTTTGGCAATACAACAGGTAACTACAAGCACCAAAGTAACTAAACGGTTAAGTAACTAACCTGTTATGTATGTAAATACAGCAATGGGTGAGTGCATTCATTGTCATGATGGCAAGAGTTTGAAAAGCAGATTTATGGACATTGCTGTCATTTTGCTGGACATTTCTTGTTTTACCATTAACTCAAACTCAACTCAAATTCTTTTATTCTATATAAAAACAACAACTTTTGGTAGTACAAGAAAAACATGATAAAACCTTTACAATACATATACATAAAGGCAAGATGGCAGAACGTACAACTATTTTTACAATATAAATACAACACAGTTAAAGTTTACAATATAATCATTTAGTCTTTTTCACACTTTTATCAACTAAGTTTAGGTATTTTGCTAAATTTTGTGATTGTGCAAGATTTTGCTTCAAAAATAGGTTTTGATAAGTCATTAGATTAGGGAAATATAAGTATTTAACGGGAATGTATTTCTTTCTTTGTTCAATAAAAGCTTGGCATTTAAGTAAGTAATGAAATTCATCTGCTACAGCAGGTGATTTACAGAGATTGCAGGTTCTGTTTTCACGATCAATGCCATGCCAACGGCTAACTTCAACAGGTAGGATATGGTTACAGGTTCTGTATTTTAACATTGTTATATGTACATAAGCCGGCAGGAGGATATAGCTTTCTAAAATCGGGAGATTTTAAATATATTTGTAATAGAAACCTTTAGGGCTATTTTCTATGTCAACTTTCCAATTTTGGTAAAATTGGTCTTTCAGGGTTGATTCTACATGATAAGTTAACCATTGGCATGAAACATTTATGGGGTTATGAAATATATAGGATATCAAGAATACCTTTTACATATTTGATCCAAATATCACATTCAATTTCTCTAACGCCTTGGATAAGTGCATGATTATAAATCAATTTTGATAGTTTTGGAGTAGTTCCAACAGAATGTAGCTTATACCAGTAACAGATTACCCTTTGTAGCGGCTATTATATAAAGGGGAACTCTCCTAGCTCTCCATATACCATATAATTTGGGGTAGAGTTGCGTAAATCAATGGCTAATTAAAGAAATCTCATATCAGTCTTCTCAATGACTTGTAAATCTTCCTATGCCCATGTTTCACAACCATGAAGCAAAATCGGTGAAATCATAACATCAAATTCTTTCAGTAAACAATCTATAGGTGTATTAAAGTTTCTTGATTTTTTCAAAAGACTAAACATAGCTTTAGATGCGCTGTCTGAAAGGGTTTTTTTATTGCTTTATTGAATTTTCACTCCAAGATAAATGTAATCATCTACAATGTCAATCAAAGTATTTCCATAATGGTACTTTAGCTTAGAGTATTTTGCTGGACCGCTCCCAAATATAAGTACCTTTGTTTTATCTAGATTTACTTCCAGATGCCACATGTTACAATATGCATGGAATGAGTTAAGAGTGCGTTGAAATTCAGGAGCTGAGTCAGCAAAAAGGACTGTGTCATCTACATAAAGTAGTATCATAAATGATATACATAGGTTCATATCAATATCTGGGAAGTTACGAAGACTCACAGATGTACATCCAGCATTAGTAAGGAATCCATCAACGTCATTTATGAATAAACAGAACAAAAGAGGGGAAAGGTTTTTACCTTGGCGCACGCCAGAGAAGCATAGGAAGTAATCCGACATATTATTGTTTGATAGAACACAAGATTTGATATTAGCATACATATTTTGAACAAGAGTTAAAAATCTGCCATTAATTCTATTGTTGAGTAGCTTATGCCAGAGCCCAACCCTCCATACATGTATTTATCAAATGCGTTTGAAAAGCCAATTAAAGCACAGAACAATTTTTTTTTACTAGTTTTGAATAATTGGTTGAGCATATTCATTACAACGATGTTATCATTTGTTGAGTGATCATTCCTAAAACCCGCCTAGGCAGGGGATAATATCTTATTTATTTCAAGAAAGGTGTTAAGTCTGTTAATCAGAATACTTGTGAACAGTTTACCGAAACAGCGGAGTAATGTAATTGGTCGATATGCGTTTGGGTCAGATTTATCTCCCTTTCCTTTGTAGATGGGTCTGATAGAGCCCATCAACCATGCTTCCGGTAATATTCACACCGAATTCGGCACGCGCAGCATCGCCAAGCAGATTCGCTACTCCAGAGGCAAATTCATTGATTGCACGTGGTGTGTGATTGTGACCTGTTGTCGATTGCAATATGTGTGACAATCTGGAGACATTATTGACATCATTGAAACCTAAGTTCAATGAGAACATGATTGGAGAGTGGATATCTGAGTAAAGGGCTGAAAATTCAGTAATCTCAAAATCTCTAAAAAGTGGAAGGCATAATGATGACAATAGGACATAGTAAACTAAACTTGAATCCTTACAAGTGACTTTGCCAACTTCTTTATCTTTATCTAATCTGCCATCACAAATGAACATATTGGTGTTTTTACATATACTAGCCACATAAAGAAACTGTGCATTGTCAAAATATTATCCCACTTGATAAGTACGATAACAATGTCAAAGGTACATATAAACTTTAATGGAGGGATCATGAGACCATTTCAATTGAAAAGTCAATCACAATGACGTCACGAGTCCACAAGCGGGACAGGGGTCAAACGACCATGTCACAAGCAAAATAACGGGTATGTCCACCATCGGCATTGAGAACAGCAGTGCATCGACGACGCATAGAGCCTATCAAACGTGCAAGGCAGGCTTGTGGGATGTCACGCCAGATTCTCTCAAGTTCTGTTGCAAGGTCAAGGACGTTATCTGGCGGATGAGGAAGACTGCGTAGACGTCGATCCATCTCGTCCCAAACATGCTCTATCGGGGAGAGATCCGGTGAATTTGCAGGCCAAGGCAGTAAGTCAACGTTGTGGTGTTGACGGAACCACCACCAAAGCGATTCCTCTCGAAGACACAGGTGACACCCGTGAAGAGCCACCTCCTCGTGGTGGGTGCTAGGTAACGCTAAGCGCTCTTCGACCCCGCGTTGTGGACCCGGGGGTATATTTGGTCCACCAACCCGTTTGCCGTGGGTTGCGCCCCTGTGTCGGTGGAGGACGGGATTCTGGTGGTTGAGGGCAATAGGTTCCTGGAACCGTGTTCCTTTTGCCAAACACACCACTTTGGCCCCTACTTCACCTAGACGGGTGGTAGAATCGTCCCGATTCTATCAATCGGCTGGTCACGCCATGCCCTGTGCATAGAAATCATTTTTTGCACATTTAATTGTTGGGTATTGGTCATTTTTGATTTGGCATATACAAATGATTGCTATATTAAATTGCCTAGAGTCCTATGCCAGAAGGCGGTGGCTCATGGGCCAATCTGGTGATTATGACCTCTAAATTCTGTATGTCTCCAAGTTTCTGTTAGAGCCGAACCAGCCTGACATTATATTTGGTAGACAAATATAGCTATTTATGTCGTATTTACTGGAGTATATCACCCTTGTATCCCTGGTGTTTGCATGCTGGATATCCGCTGCAGATAGACACTGTCCTTGTTGACACTCGGTGGCGGGTGGGGAGCAGGGGTGCTGAAAATTTTCGATACATCATGAGTCAAATACATTCTGGTTCCGCTAGAAATGACAAGAAAAGGCGTCTGGAGGCTGAAGATATTTCAGTTCCAAAACAACAGGACAACTTGTCAAAATTTATAGTCATTGAGGCTACAAATGGTGAACCCCTCAAATTAAATCCTTTTTTGATTTCCAAGACTATCCAATCTATATGTGGAGAAGTCAAAATCGTCTCGTGTCTCCGAGGTGGTCAGCTCCTTGTAGAATGTGCAAGGAAACAACAATCAATTAATTTGTTACAACAACAACAATTTGCAAATGTCAGCGTTAAGGTCACTGAACATAAAACACTCAATTCTAGCAGAGGCATTGTTCGGGACAGAGCCCATTGTTTGTCGGACATGTCAGTGGAGGAAATCGTTGACGAACTTAAAGATCAACATGTCACGTCTGTAAAGCGCTTCACAGTCAAGAAACAAGATGGTAGAACTGTTCCAAGCAACACGTATCTGTTTACGTTTTCATTGAGCACAGTCCCTAAATCAATCAATGCTGGTTATTTCAATATCGGAGTGGAGGTGTATATCACCACTCCACTCCGTGTTATACATGTCAGACGTTTGGACATGGCTCAAAATCCTGCCGAAATATTCATCGTTGTCATCGTTGCAGTGAGGATCATGAAAATGCTGACTGCAGCAAAGATCCTAAATGTGTAAACTGCGGCAGTGATCATGTTTCATCTTCAAAAGCCTGCCCTGAATGGCAGATTCAATCAAAAATCCTGAAGTTGAAATATGAAAACAATATTTCCTTATTTGAGGCAAAAAAACAAGTACATCAAATGCAGTCGGAGCCATCTTCGACAGTTAGTTATTCAGCTCCTGTCTCCAGAAAAACCACATCAGTGTCGGTTTCATGCCAAACCGATTTGACTTGGACTAAATCCAAACATCCTATCTCTGTGCAAACTACTTGTAATAGCCAGACCACTGTGACATCAGCCTCTCAGACTGTCAGCCAATCAGAGCAAACGATTGCTCAGACAGGTGTAAATGTTGAGGAAAATGTTGCAGTGTCGAAAGCTCACCGGAACCGCTTCAATCGGATGCAAACATCAAAAACTCCCTCTACTGTAGAGACGCCTGTAACAATGGAGGTTCACAACTCCTTTTAACCCCTGGAGATGGAGGTATCTCCACCTTCGAAACACAAACATAGGCGTTCTTCCTCACGTTCTCGTGAGAGATCACCAATAGAACCACCATGAGACAGAATCCTGATCTACTACAATGGAATTGCAGAGGCCTTAAGACCAATTTTAATGATCTACAATTATTATCACAAGATTTTAAACCATCGGCCTTTAGTTTACAGGAGACATACCTGAAAAGTACAGATAAATTTGATTTTCGTCAGTACAATTCCTTTCATTTTTCACGCCCAGGTGAGAAAGCCACTGGTGGCGCTTCAATTTTGGTGAGGCAGGGCGTGATTCATAGCCCTGTCCCTCTTAAAAGCAATCTTCAGGCTGTTGCTCTCCGCCTTTCTTAACAAATAACATTCACGCTTTGCTCACTATACATTTCTCCATCTTCGGCTCTTCAGCACTCCGATCTTCAGGATCTCTTCGATCAGCTTCCCGAACCCTGTATTATCATGGGTGATCTTAACGGACACAACCCTTTGTGGGGAAGTACCGATACTAACAATAAAGGGAAAATCCTCGAAGACTTCATTTCTAATAATAATTTATGCATATTTAATGATGGATCAACCACTTATTTACATCCTGGATTTGGAACTTATTCTGCACTTGATCTGTCTCTTACAGATCCCAATATTTATAACGAATTTGAATGGTCAGTCCACGATGACCTGTGTGGAAGTGACCATTTTCCCACAATACTTCCAGCTATAAACCCGAATGTTGATCCACCTGCCACAAGGTGGAATTATAGTAAGGCCAACTAGCCATTATTTCAAACACTGTGTACTGACAACTTGAAATCTGAATTCTTTTACAATGCTCTAGATCTAATTCAGTTATTCTCTGATACACTGAAGACTATTGCTGATGAAACTATACCTAAGTCCTCTGCAATTCCACATATTCGTAAACCATGGTTTACTAATGACTGTAAACAGGCCAGAAAGAATAGGAAGAAGGCAGAAAAATATTTTCGCCGACATCCTACAGTCCATAATTTAGATAAAGTTAAAATTTTAAATGCCAAGGCTCGACGCGCATTTAAACAAAATAAGCGTCAGTCTCGGCGAAACTATGTTTCCAAAATTAATTCTCGCACACCAATGTCAAAGGTGTGGAACATGATTCAACGAATAAAAGGCAAAGGCTCAAAATCTACTGTCCACCATTTGAAGGATGGTGACAATTTATTGACGGATAAGGTTGATATTGCGAATAAGCACGGTGAAACTCTCGCCAAACATTCTTCTTCGTCCAATTACGTCCCTGAATTTCAAACATACCAGAAACAACAGGAGAAGAAGCGACTTAATTTTACGTCGGATAATGGCGAAGACTATAATGAATTATTTTCATTACATGAGCTCCACACTGCCCTTGAGCAAGCTCATGATACAGCAACAGGGGCTGATGATATCCATTATCAGCTCTTGAAGCATTTACCAGAATCATGTCTGGAAACGCTGCTACATGTTTTTGATACAATATGGACTTCAGGGAATTTCCCGACTTCCTGGCGTAATGCCATTGTAGTCCCCATTCCAAAACCTGGCCGGGATCATACTGATCCGTATAATTACAGACCAATCTCTTTAACGAGTTGTGTCTGTAAAACCATGGAACGAATGGTAAACAATAGATTAACATGGTGTCTTGAAACCAATAACCTTATAACCAATATTCAATGTGGTTTCAGGAAAAATCGTAGTACCATAGATCATTTGCTACGCTTAGAATCCTTTGTTAAAAATGCTATAGTAAATAAACAACATGCTGTATCGATATTCTTTGACCTCGAGAAAGCATACGATACTACCTGGAAGCATGGCATTTTAAAGGATTTACATGATTTTGGTTAAGGGGTCGTTTACCTCTTTTTATATCACGGTTTTTAAGAGACAGGCACTTTCAAGTCCGAGTGGGTTCAACCCTGTCTGACCATTACAATCAGGACAGGGCGTCCCGCAAGGTAGTATTTTGTCTGTCACTTTATTTAGTATTAAGATCAACAGTTTATCCAAGGTTTTAAATGATTCAATTGATGGATCACTTTTTGTGGATGATTTTAACATTTCTTGTCGCGGTAAGAATATGCATACTATTGAACGGCAACTGCAGTTGTGTTTAAACAAAAATACATAAATGGTGTCTTGAAAACGGCTTTAAATTTTCTAAATCAAAAACTAATTGTATACATTTCTGCCGTAAATACAAACCTCATAAAGACCCAGAACTATTTCTCAATGGTACACCCATCAAGGTTGTCAAGGAGGCCAAGTTCTTGGGTATTATTTTCGACTCCCATTTAACTTTTCTTCCGCATATTAAATCCCTAAAACATAAATGCCTGAAGGCACTGGATTTGTTAAAAGTTGTTTCCAATTCAAAGTGGGGAGGGGATCAAGCTACCCTCCTACATTTATACCGATCATTGGTCCGGTCCAAACTTGATTACGGCTCCATCGTATATGGTGGAGCTTGCAAGAGCAACCTAAAATTACTTGATTCTGTCCACCACCAATGCCTCCGACTTTGTATTGGGTCTTTCAGAACTTCTCCTGTTGACAGTCTCTACGTCGAGGCTGATGAGCCATCACTTAATCAACGCCGTATCAAATAAGCTTTACAATATATTACAAAACTACATGCTAACGAGTCTAACCCTGTTTATAAATGTGTCTTTAATTCTCTTTATGACGATTTGTATAACAAGAAACCTTCTCTTGTTCCGCCTCTAGGGCTAAGAATTAGGCCATTCATTACTGCTGCCGGCATTGAGCTGGGAAATATATCTCCTTCTCGTCTTCTTTCTTCTCCTCCTTGGCAATTGGTGAGGCCTGGAGTTGACCTCACTCTGACAAAGTTTAAGAAATCTGACACTAATGAATTGCAATACAAACAAGAATATAATCAATTAAAAAATAAATATAATACATACAAATCCTTATTTACAGATGGGTCCAAGGATGGTGGCACGGTGGCATGTGCCACTGTCATTGGATCCCGAACAATATCTTCTCGACTACCAAACAACAGCTCTATTTTCACAGGAGAAGCTAAGGCCATATTAACAGCTCTTCAATATATTAATAAACACCGTAAATATAAAGAATACATAATATTTTTCGATTCTTTTTCGTGTCTCCAGGCTTTTAAAAATCTTTCTTGTAAACATCCACTTTTAATAGAGATTATTGAATTGTATAATGAGCTTGCTACTGGCCAATGCGACATCGTCTTTTGTTGGTTACCCAGCCACGTTGGCATTTCTGGGAATACAATGGCCGATCTTGCTGCTAAGGCAGCACTCAACAAATTTGTGACACCACTTTTTATTCCTTACTCTGATTACAAAGCTAGCATTAGAATTTACATCCGCGATCTGATGCAGAAGAAGTGGGACACCCAAGTAGGTATTAATAAATTACATGAAATAAAACCCTATATTGGTTACACCTACTTGGGTTGTGAGTCCAGATTTGAAGAGGTCATCTTGCGACGATGTCGTATTGGCTATACAAGGTACACTCACAAATATTTGTTAAAAGGTGAAGATCCTCCGTTTTGTATCCCTTGTGATGATAGAGTCACAGTCAAGCATCTCCTGCTTGACTGTGTTGAATTCTCCATCATAAGGGATAAATATTTCAATGTTAAAACTGTTAAGGATCTTTTTAATTCTGTTCATCTTCATTAAATTCTTGCTTTTTTAAAAGAAATTGATTTCATTAATGAATTTTGATAAATATGTTCTGTAGATAGATGTGTTTTAATGATTGGTAGTGTAGATTATCAGCTTAGGTTGTTAGTGGCTGTATCCTCGAAGGGGGGTTGAAGTAGCGTAAAATTATTGTCCTCCTGAGAGGGTACGTAAGTCCCAAAAACTTTCAAGGTAAATTTTTCACGCCCTGTGTTTTTAAACGTAGTATTCTTGTCATTTTAATTTGTGGCTAAATTTCCTACAATCGCCAACAGCTGAAGGGATGGTGTAAATCCAGCTAGGGTCCATGCAGGTAGCAAAAGTAATGTAAGTCCCCATGGTTCCTAGTATGGTGATCTACCTTCAGTTGTTGGCGATCTATAGCCCGTTTTTATATTGTATTGTCTTCGTAAATAAAATAGTTTTACATGTTCATGCTAGTTTTAGACTCCATCTGTGATACTCTAGTTATTTTACAGTGGTTCGATGACTGATTATTTAGCAACTTTAATTTATTGTTTATGTAAAACATTTCTCGTCACTATATGGCTGAAATATTGCCGAGGTGACGTTAAATTCTAACTCACTCACTCACTCACCAAGACACAGGCCTGTGCATAACGTTCTCCCACGCGTCTTTAGGCACGTTGAAGTCCATCACTATGGGAAATGTTAAACCTGGACTCAACTGTAAAAACAACATTTCTCCACCAAAACAAGGGTCTGCGGACATGATTTCGGCACCACATTCGGCGAGCTTGTCGATGGCGTTGTGTCAGGATAGGCCGTTTGGCGGGACGTCGTGGTCTGATCCCGTGAAAACGTAAACGTTGTCGAACTGTGTTGGGGTTTTTACGGCGATGGAAGGGAGGCTGTGCAAAGGATATTCTCAGTTTCATAAATATCATTCATTTTATCAATATCAATATCAAGTTCTTCAATGATATCTTTGTCTATAGTACAAACGTCCTTCAGATTACTTGTCCTTGCGTTAAAGTCTCCCATAAGCAAAAGGTAATAACTTTTACTTTGCATATGTAAAACTGATTGCTCCAGAACAGGGTACATATCCTCTGTAGCATATTTAGAGCTTTCGGGGGGTAAGTATACATTTCCAAAATAAATCATTATCAGTCTTCAACAAATCTTTAGATATGGTATACCATATAACATTCACATTCATCATTAACGAAATTTGTTATATTAAGTCGTTGAACTAGTGTACAAATATGAACTGATTCATTTCATTTATCATTCATTTGCAGATGGGCTATCCAGATTTTGAAACAAGCTGACTTAATATTCTTCTTAGAGTTTCGCTTAGACTATAATGGGCAAAGTAACGTGGCCGTTATCAACACACGGAAGGATGGTAATTGGGGAAGTCCGTTACATTTCGACCTAACACTGGCTGTTGGAAAAACAATGGATATTCAAATAACCCTCCTGCATGGAGTTTTCAGGGTAGGTATGGAATGGATACGAAAAACACTGATGATATATACATGGTTAAAATATCAGTTGCATATACAACTACAGACTGTAGACAATAGAGGATCTATACATGGAATGTAAATTGCAAACCAGTGTATTACGGAATTTATATCAGTGAAGGTAAACCGAGAACAGTTTCATTTCATGTTTCAGTGTTTGACTATTTGTTTATCAGTGTGAAACATAATGCATAGTATATATTTAGAATGGTTATCTTTGTTATAAGAACGAATACATACCCGAGAAAACAAATTATAGAACTAGTTGACACTTTGTATACGATGTTGGGTAAAACAGTTAAATTAAGTTATGGCCGGTTTATTTCAGTTAGTAATCGATGGTGTCAGCATTCACAACTTCACGGAGAGAGACCCTGGGGAAAAGCCTGACAAATTTGCCATTGTGATTGACGTCTCTGTTAGTATGATCGAGTTGATGGGGTTATAGCTGAAACGGCCCCACGGCAGAACGGCCCCAAGTGGAAACGGCCCCAAATTGGCTAAAACGGCCCCAAATGTTTTGGCTGAAATGGCCCCATGACTAAACGGCCCCAAGTTAAAACGGCCCCATATTTGCCAAAATGGCCCCAAAATAATCAGTTTTATTTCAATGTGTGTCCTTAGTCATAAATGATAGATCAAAACGCATATTTTTCAATTACTTATTAAATTAATTAACTTTGACATTTTCATCATGATTTTCTTCTGTTTAACTGACCATGAGGCCAATAATACATGTGGAAGATATGAATCAAACGAACTGAATAATGTACAGATCGTCTAACAATATTCACTAGAATTTAAGTTTGACAAATAAAACATTAGATTTCAGAATCAGAATTTAAATTGTTAAAAACACATCCATACCATGAAGTCACACATACAGTCATTAAAACAACATTGAAGTAGCAGTTATACTCTGTCGAGTGAATCCTGACAGCGCTGGTGTTTTGACAAACATTAGCAATAGTACATAAATGAATATTATAAAATACAAGTCTATGAACTCAAGACTATGGCATAGTGTTCTCTGTGTCAATGATATACAGTATTTATTGATGGGGATAGATGGTTACTGTACATTCATAATGACCCAACGCTGTGTGGTTTGCAATAAGACCGTCCGGAAAAACCATGCTCTAAAATCCATGCAATAAATGGACAGTTACTTCAACGTAAACATTCAAAGCAATGGACAGTTTCAACACAACTGCATATGAAATGTACAGTTTGATTTTTCGACGATAACTGAAAAAATACTGATGCATTAAAGCCTAAACTCTAAATGAAGGCCTAAAACAACTATTTCTAAGAAGAAAGTGTTGTTTGCTGATGAGGTTGTCATATTTCGTGTTAAAACGATCTTTTCCCGCGATCTTGTTTCGACACTCAGGAGGGTGCCCTCGCTTAACACGTTTGCAATAAATAGAGAGGGTGTCAAGCAATTACAGAAAGAACCATTGGAAGTTTATTGTCTGTGTCGTTATTCTATTTAATACCCATTATGTAACTTCATATTAAACTAAAATTGAAAACAAATACATGGTCAAGCACGTTAATGGTACTGCTGTGTGTGCCGCAAGGAGAGTATTTTTAGGACTTTTTTCTGTTTTCAATATATGTTACATGTCAATGTAAATGCTCAAATATATTTCACGTCTATTTTTGCAATTGTACGGGGTCATTTCAAGCAATCTCTGGCTGTTTTCACTTAGCAACATCGGGGCCGTTTTGCACAGGGGCCGTTTTAGCCAAGCAAAATTTGGGCCGTTTGGCAATGGGGCCGTTTTAGCCTGATCCTAGTTGATGTCTTGAACGATCTACCCGAGAGCAACACTTCATAACTTGGATCATCAAGGCGAACGGAGATGTTTTCTTTCGAGATAGTGAACACCAAGGTTGAATGTGTTCAAACTTACCTTAACTTTGGGTAAATTACCTTATGTTTTCTTTAGAATGAAAAACGAAAACATGTAAAGAGATTAGAGAGGTGAAATATGAATGAATACATTTTGGCGAGTTGGCTTGGGGCGGTCAAGAAAGTGAACTTGGTAACTGGAAGGTATGGCTAATACTCTTCTTCAATTCTTAATTAACAGAAGTGCAGGCCATCGACCCAGGACACCGTTTCCCAAAGCTCTCGTAAGCCTAAGATCTCGTAACCTTTTCCATAGTAATCGTACCTCCTATACTGAAGCATAGACTTACGACAGTCGTAGCGCTACGATAGCTTTGTGAAACGGGGCCCAGAACTACATAGGTTACATTGTACATGGGAAAACATGGTGTGTACAGGACACATTAATTATTTTAACATCTTAGATACATTGCATGGTGAATAAAGCTGGCTAAATTACTGATAAGTTTACAATCTGATGATGACATGAGGAATTTAAATTTAGCTTTACATGGATTGGTACAATAGGTTTAAGATAAATCGATCAAGCAGAGCTGTTTAAATTTTGACCACACGAGAAGAAAATGGTATCCATCCTCAATATAACCTTCATCGCACTGTAAACATAGTCTATCATGTCTATTTATTTTATAATACCTTTCAGTTTCAATACGTAACTGATGTGAAAAACATCTAAACTGAGCAAGTGCTGTTCTAAACTTAATGTTAATTTCATTTATATACAATTCCTTGGAAAATGATATGTTGAAGTAAGAATACGACATAGATTTGCTATCATTTTGAAGTGAACTATACTAATTCTGTTCGTGAATTATACATTTAAGCCGTCTCACAAATTCAGATAAAAACGAGGCAGGAAACTATACAAATTGCCGTTCCTACACGAAACCAAAACAGATATCGACACTTCGAAGCCCAATTAACTTTATAATGATCATGTAATGGGGTGGCGAGAACCAGACTTACATAATAACTTAACCAATACTTTTTTACCTTTTTGTATGCTAGGATATATAGGGGATACCGCCCACATTCACCACGAGCTATATAAGTAGGTGTAGAGGTCTTAATGCCTAAAAACCGTTTGCATGCCAATGTATGAACAGATTAAATATAATCATTCTGACAGAATCCCCAGATCTCATCACCATAGAATAAAATAGTATCTATTGTTATATCAAATATTATGAAGTACTACCTAGCTTACTTAATATTTTAAGAAAACCAAATAAAGTCTTTTTACACTGCTGCATTAGAGCAATGACTAGGCCAAGACAAACCCCTTGTAAATGTTATATCTAGATACCTATACGAAGATACAACTTCCTATTTTCTACCATTGTAAAAAGAACTTTCTATTTTTGATAAGATACCACCTTTCTGAAAAACGACAACTGTATTATCCAAATTGACCTCGAGGCCATATTCTATACAAAACGTTTCTGAAACATTGATGCGCTTCTGTAGCCCTCTAATAGTCTCAGATATGATTACGAAGTCATCAACGAAAAGCAGAAAAAATATCTGAATAACATCAGGATGTAATTGAATACCTGGACCTGAACTTCGTTCTACCGCAACAGCCAACTCGTTGATAAAAATAGAAAACAACAGGCAGCTTAGGACGCAGCGATTACGAACACCACGTGAACAAGGGAAAAATCCTGACAACATTTTAAACATTTTACGCTAGCCTTAACGGATGAATAGATGGACTGTATAGAGTTAACCATTTTGGGAGAAACACCTCTTGATATCACAACTGGCTATAATTTCAAACGATTTACACTGTCGAATGCCTTAGCAAAATCCACGAACACACAATAACGTTTAACCTTTTGCTTACTAAGGTACCTCTGGATAATAGACTGAAGGATAAAGATATTATCAATTGTAATAAGGTATTTGATAGGGGATATACACCGTATGCAAAACTGTTAACTTACCTATGGTTTTTGAGAATGAAAAATGAAGAGAATGTAAATGAGATTAGGGAGGTAAAATAAGAATGAATAGATTTTGGGGAGTGGGCACAGGCGCGGACAAGAGTGAACTTGGTAACTGGGAGGTATTGCTAATAAATAAGGTAAAGCACCGTAGGACTTTAGTTGATTTACTCCACAGTTAAGCTGTGGTTATAAGATAAAATGGACCTACTAAATATGAAAAGGGAGTTTAATCTAAGTCTGAGGTTAAAAGGCTGGGCAACAGGAGGCGAAGGACGGCAGCTGGCGTGTGTGTGGCCTTAGCAGTGTCGGTTGGTTTGTTGTTTAGAGCCGCACTCAGCAATATTCCAGCTACATGGCGGCCATCTGTAAATAATCGAGTCTGGACCAGACAATCCAGTGATCAACAACACAAGCATCGATCTACGCAATAGGGATACGATGACATGTGTCATCGAGCCTGACCACCCGATCCCGTTAATCGCCTCTTACGACAAACTGAAGACCAATTCTAACCCTTAAGCAGTATGTGTAAGTGTCCATGCGTGCGTGCGTGTGTGCCCTTGACGTTGTGTGGCTGTATGGATTAACAGGCAAATAGAAAATGTGTGTCGGTATGGTGTATGGTTATTGGCGTGGACGTCGTAGAAGACAGTCCACGTTGTGCAATTAGACCCCGATCCTAACTGTTAGGATGATAGGGTGTTTATTTGGGAGAGTCAGAAGTTTGTTTAGGAGTGAGGTATTTTAATGAAAGAACATATGACGTTGAAAATGGCAGGGAGACTGTGAAGGTTAATAAGTAGGGTGATGTTGTTTCTGTTTTTTTGTGGGTTTTGTATGTTTTAGTTGGAGTCGGGAGGGCTGGTATAAACAGGCATCTGGTGAATATGTAGTTGATATTTTCTTGTGTTATGCACGGTGTGCCTTGTCTATCTTGTGCTGTCTTGACATCTTGCTACAATGTAAAATGTTATATAAAGTTTGTCTGTTTTGAGTGTATACTGTGTTGTCCTAATTTGAAATCCAATTTTAGAGAGAGTTGCTAGCTGTATTCCTTGATACTGTGATATTCTAGTTAATTTTACTGTCATTACTGTTTTTATAATTTATATGTATTTATGGTCAATTCACAACTTGCTAAAAGTCACGAAATGGCTGAAATATTGCCGATGTGACTTAAAATCTTAACTCACTCACTCACTGTTTTGAGTACAGCCGCTCTGATGCGGCTTAAAAGTGGGCAGCAACAGCATTTGATTTTTTCTTTTACAAGACGTCCTTGAAGTTTGGATAGATATAGGATTTAGAATTTCCTTTATGGCTTTAAATTTGTTCCACGGGTCCTGGTGTTAAGGTTATCAATTTTGAGGGAGATCATAAAAGTATGCCATTGTTTTTCCTTTGTTGACATTTTACTTATTTCGTATGATGTCTTAACTGTTTGGTCAAATGTAGTTTGGAACGGTCCCTTTTAGATCTTAGACCCTCCTTCTTTCTTCTCTAGCGTTAATGTGCTCCACCAGGGGACTGCTTTCGTGCGCGGTTTATTCTAATTGTAGGGATACATTCGGGTGTTATTTCTTGTATTATTGTAGTTAGGTTGTTGTTTAAGGTGTTAGTGTCTCGGTCATGTATATTCTGTGGTGTCGATTTGGTTGCATAGTGTTTGAATTTCACGAAGACTTTAGCTCCCAAAGTACGGCTTCGTGTTTTGTGATCTGTTATGACTTTTTTTTTTGTAGGTAAATCTATGGCTTGGTATGCATGTGTGGTTTTAAAGGGAGGCATACAAATGAATTCGTCGTTAAACGAACTAGTTTTGACCTCGTTACACCCCTTTCTTTTTATATGGTGCTTAGTCCCCGTCAGTGACAATATATACCGTAATGCCTGTTTTTGAGTTACAAGCC